GTGTGCCAAGCTTTTTCAAAATGGTTTCTTGCATGACATTGGGGCACATATGGGGACCACAGAAGCATGGTTCATTTTTCCTGAACGGCCCTCTGAATACCAGAAAAGGGGTCCCTAGTTCGATTCCTCGTGGTGACAAATTTTTGCATTTCGAGTTGACGTTTCAAAATTCGCGCAAAATGGAGTTAGCATGAATAATTAGTACCATATTCATGATTAGGACCGTCAGTAACCCTTACAAATAGACTTTGATTGAAAAACTGGTGAAAAAGGTGTGACTAGGGACCCCCTTTTCTGGTATTCAGAGGGCCGTTCAGGAAAAATTAACCATGGTTCTGTGGTTCCCGCATGTGCCCCTATATCATGCAAAAGACCGTTTTGAAAAAGCTTGGCACACCCTGAAAGACCTTCCTTGTAAATGGGTGATATTCGAAAGGGGAAGCCCTGCATGGCGAACTGGATCACAGAAAGGATTTATGGGAGACATGGGTATGGGTATGTTTTGGCTACGCATATACCCCCGTGCACCATCATCACTTTTGGAGAATACTGAAGGGAGAGGTGATCGCCCACCTAGGATGCTGTTTGCTCAACAGGTTGCCATTATGCGTGACAATATGTCGAAAATTCTTTCATGTGGGTTCACTTGTTCCTCCATGGATCCATCATCTCCAATTCTCATCCCTTACCTGGGAAGGCTTTCAACTTCCCGTGTAACTTTGAATTGAGAGGTAGGAGAGTTGATAAAGCCTGGGATGCTGGTTACAAATCAAGTTCAAGTCTGCTACGTAGACCTGCCAAGGAAGTTGCTAACGGTCACATTGGTCAAGCTTCGATTCCTACTGATGACAAATTTTTGCACTCCATGTGGGGCATCCAAAGTGGTATCAGATGGCTCCAGCAAGAATAGGAGTCATATTCGTAATCGGGACAATCAGTGTCCCTTTGGAAGGAGGCTTTTACCAAGCCATAATTTCAACGTAGCATCATAACCTACTTGGACCATCCATAACTTCTTCGGCAGGTTTACGAAGCAGTTTTCATTTCCACATTTGTGGCCGGCCTTCTAGGCTCTATGATCTACCTAGGCCCCAATTTAAAGTTCCAGGCGATGTTGGAAGCCCTCCCTAATTAGAACTCGGTAGAAGGGTTTGTTAAAGGGGCGGGGGGGGGGAGTCGTGTGTCCCACGATGTCACTTCTACGTTACAACTGGACGAGCCTGTTCATCGATATTACGCGCCATTTTTTAGGACAGCATGTCTTGGAACCTTCAAAGCCTTCCTCTCAAACTCGAAGTACCTGTTCCTTCGGACATTGCGATCTCGAGAAGTCAAACTCCGAAAAATATCGAACAGGTAGGTTATTCGGACTTCAACACAAATTTCATTGCAGAACTTGGTGTAGGAATTCACCATGATTATCCAGCCTTCAATTTAATTTTGAAGCATCATCACCCCGTTCAAGTTGGGTACGGCAGGTGTGGCGACGTTGCAACTCTTATCTTCTGTTGCGCCCTTTCTCGATGCGTAACCAGCAGTCATGAAACGACCTTTGGGTGCAATTGTCACACTGTTGCCATTTGAGAACGTTGTTCTTCTAAGAAAAACACTGTTGACTTGCTGAGGCAGCTAACACACATGAAGACAGTTCCGTTAAGGTCACTAACCAAGTACCTGAATACAGCATGCGATGCTACTTCTGAGAACAACAAAGGCCATGCCGTCATGATCCATGACGTGTGCTTAATTAGATCACCTTTTATCACCAATGGAGCAGTTCATATAGAACGCTTTTCTCTCCTGAATCGGTGATAAATGGAATGATAAGCCAATGTGTATAAACTTCAGCCTTTTGTCATTAATGAGACAGTTCAGAGAACGATTCGCTGTCTGCAGTAGGCAACAAAAAGAGCTGCATAAGCCACAATGAATGACCCGTCCATCATTCTCCGCCCGGGTCACCATTGAAGTCTGCAGATGATAGTCAGAGAATCGATCAAATACACCACTCAATTTGATGTTTATGGAAGCTTCACAAATTTCTTTACTGATTTAATTGGTAATTAAAAAAGACCCGGGTACAATGACGTACCAGCCGCTGCCAAATATAGGAGTATCAATTTCATTCCGTTACAGGTAGCTTTTCTGTCAGGCAAATATATTGTTACAGTAGGCGTGCTCACAGTAGGGCGACGTTCAGTTCTCCTCCTAGGTAAGAGGTCACCAGAGCTGCGCGACCATTAAAGCCTGAGGTTGTGCGAGGGCTTTGGCTTAGGCTTGCTTACGCTTCACATCTTGGCTGATGCTCAAAGGAGGATTGATAAAACGAAGGTCGAAGAATGGGAAACTTACCTAGTGGAGAGACAGGCGGACCTCCTAAGGGTGCGGACCAACACGCAATTCGCATCGAAGGATATGCCCCGGCGATCTGGCATGGCCTTCCCTTTGGCGCAATTGGCCCGGAACGCCCACCGACGTAGTAGAGAGAGCGTTAGCATTGAACGAGAGTCGCATCAATGCGAAAATCAACGGGCAAGAAGGGGGTCCATTTCTCGGGTTCCGGGCTGTTTCACATGGTTTTTCTTCATCCCTGCTTCACTAACCACCTCTACTCTTGTTTCCAATAAGCTACCTTTTCATCGTAAAACGCGCCTTCACGCCTTTGATTGGGCCTAGGCTTTGTTCTTGGTTTACTACGAGCAAATGTGCGGTGTCCAAATTATGGGTGATCTGACCTGAGGAGGAAGACTGAATCACACCCGGGCTAAATTGCATAGTTTCCGAAATCTCTGAATTTCGCGAAAATTTACCAACCCTTCACTTACCTTTTCTGTTTGCCTTCCGATGCCTTCTGAAATACGGCAACAGCATGCCACAGTTTTCAATCTGGCTTATATGTAGTGCTAGGATTTCTTCTATGTACGCATTACTTTTCTGTTGCAGTTAGCTCAAGAGGTGGGCATTCTGCATGAAGAACTCGATCCCTATGGAAGGAAAAAAGCCAAGGTATCGTTGGATGTTCTGCGAAGATTAAAACATGTGAAGGACGGAAAATACGTCGTAGTTGCTGGTAAGTTGCTGAAGTGTGGCTATCATTGCTTGAGATATCGTACTCTCCTTTGAGGGCACATCCCATCTTTAGTAGGTCGGGGTTATGGCGCTCAAAAATTGGCATAATAGGGACAATTGATCTGAGAGTAATGAAGGGAAAGTGGAACACTGTTGAGAATCTTCAAGGTCACATAGCGCACTGCTCGTCCGCTCCTACGAGAGTCTCATTGGTTTCTCCGATGTGGAAAAATATACAGCATAGTCTATCAAAGGTATTGGGACCGGCTAATGAGAGCCTTACAAGGGATGAGCGAAAATCCCTCCTGCACTAAGCAGTGCGCTGTGTGATTCTAACCGGGTACCCGACAGGAGGCCCGTAGCGGGCGCGAAGAAAGGGACGCAAACGGTTCAGCATGAGTTATAACGCGTAGAGCTTGTAGCGATTCAGCGTCAAATCAAATAGGATGTACATCTACATTGCACAATGCGCGCTGCGACTCATCCGTCGACCTGCCTGCGTCTCCACCTTCACGCCGAGCGACGGGCATCCTGTCGAGTAACCGATTATAAGGGTTCAACTAGTTTTTTTGTTTCTTTCCATCGATGGTGCACCAATCAGCACAACCGGCTTCATTTTTAGACGCAGTAACAACTTATAAACGTTTAATGGCTCATGTACAAGTGTTAACAAAAAGTATGTGAGAATATGGAGAAGGAAGTAGTGACGGAAGGGGGAAGTGAGGAAGAAAACACGCGAAACATCCTTTCAGAGAACAACGGGTAGGATAGAAGCCTCATTAAGGGACCCAACTCTGTTCCCGAAGGGGTGCTCCTGTCCTAAGGAAGTTCAGCATGAGGTTGTACATGCACGGTACCACTAGTATTCCGAGGTGTAATCAAAAATTCGAACACGGAAAATTTTCACCTATGGAGGCTTGAAATTATTTTCGGATCAGTTATTGATTTCCCAGTGAGTCTGAATTTAGGTATCACACCCACACCGTTGGGCGAGGGAAAATCAACTACGACGATGGGAATCGTGCAGGCCTTGACGGCCCATCTTCACAAGAATTCTTTCGCATGTGTTCGACAACCGTCACAAGGTCCAACGTTTGGCATCAAAGGAGGAGCAGCTGGAGGAGGATACGCTCAGGTGCTTGCCCTTTGACGGGATCAAAAGTATAAGTAAATGAGCAACCTTTGCAGGTGATACCGATGGAAGAGTTCAATTTGCATTTAACTGGCGACATCCATGCTATCACTGCTGCCAACAATCTTTTAGCAGCTGCTATCGATGCACGAATGTTCCATGAAAGCACTCAGAAGGATGACGCCCTTTTCAATCGACTATGTCCCGCTAATAAGCAAGGTTAGACTCTAGGTGGTGTAGCCATTCATTACATTAAAATACTGGGATGCTTCGACGTTCAGACTTTGCTAGTGGAAAAATAATTATATGTTCTAATATTTCTCGGGCGGAAGTGGTGTAGTGGCAAGTGGCACGCTTACCACGCGAGCGGTCCGGGGATCAAATCCTGGGTCGTGAGTCGCCCGGGCCAACCAAGCCTTCCATCCCTCCGGGGTCGGTTAATTGGTACCAGACTTGTCTGGGAGGATAAAAACACTGACTTGTACATCGGCTGGCCCCCGCAAGTCATTGTATAGGCCACATCGCATTCAAACGCCACTACGAATGTACAAATGGAAGTAGAATGCGTGCCGCATCCCAAAAAGGGATTGATCAACGGCAAATGCTTTATCCTTTTTATCCTTTAATATTTCTCGTAGTAAACTCGTCTGAAGGTCCTGAGTGTCAGAGAAATCAAGGGTCGTGCAACACCTTCACATCGAACTTGCGTGGTCACAGCGGTCGATGATTTAGTTGTGGATGCCGAGCTGTCTAAAAATGAAAAAAGCAAAGAAAACCGTCGATGAAGCCCTAAACAAGGATTCCCTTGAAATAAGGGTGAGGCGGAAGCCAGCAAAACATCGAACTTACCAGCTCCACGGCTCAACTAACTCGCACGTATTTGGGTTAGCTGCTAAGCCGTCATATACGTTGTGTGTCATGGGGATGCGCGACGTAACTCGTCCAAATGCTAACAATGTCGCCAACTGACTCTGTAAGACTCTAGCACCATTGTCGCGCATCTGTGATGCACTCTATTCCACCCAAAGAATAGATTCTTTGACACGCCTCCTGCTGGGGTGCTGCTTGAACTTTCACAGGGCTATTTATACAGCATATAGAGGGCCGCTATGGGTCTGTTGTCGAAGATGAAGTTTAAAAAACAGATTATCCGTAAGCTAAAACTCCCTCTACGTGCTAATGAAGAGATGAAAACGATGAAAGCCTGAGCGCTGACGTTAGAAACGCCACGCGCACTCCGGGGATTCGAACGAGTCAAAGCCAACACGTTTTCGCTCTTCTGTACAATATTTTTAGGTTAGGAACAACACTGACCCACAACTACAGGATTTTCTTGCTCCAGCCCCTTCCTTCCCAGTCGCTCGGCTCAATTCATTCACGGACCAATTACTAATTTGAAAAGCTTAGCAATTTGGAATTG